AGGACTGGCACCCATGCCTTCCAGAGATTACAGTTTCAGAATAATGGCCGATGGGCTAAGCCCCACAATGAGATGAACTATGAATTGTTTGAATGTGACAGGAGCTCTGATGTGAGGGCAAACTCTGTGTCATCAGAGGAAAATCCTTATTTGTGATAAAGCCCCATTTTATGATTCATACGATCCTAGTTTTGAGCCCAATGCAGAGCGTATAAGACACATGAAAGGTCTGCATAGAGAGAAACCTTCTGAATGCAATGAATGTGATAAACTTTCAGCAGTAGTTCCCATCTTATTAGACGTCAGAGCTCTCATACGGGGAAAAACCTTATAGTGTAATGAATATGAGAAAGCCTTCAGTCAGAGGTCATCTCTTAATAGGAAATTCATAGTGAGGAAAGCCTTATAAGTGTAATGTATGTGGAATAGCATTTATTTGGAGCTCACATCTTATTCAGCATCAGGAAAGTCATAGTAGAGAAATACCATCTGAGCGTAATGAATATGGAAAAGCTTTTGGCCAGAGTTCATACCTTATGGAACAAAACCGAGTTTATAGTGGTGAAAAACCCTATTTGTGTAGCCCAAGTGGAAAAAGAAAATTAAGGTGGAGATCTTCTCTTAATGACCATTAGAATATCCATAATGGGGAAAAGTCCTATGAGCGCAACCACACGTGATGAAGCCTTTGTGCGGATATCTCACCTTATTCACCATCATCGAAGTCACAGTGAAGAGAACTCCTATGAATGCAGTGAGTGTGAAAAGGCCTTCAGTTGGAAATCTCATCTTGTCTGACATCAGAAAACCCACGATGGAAAAAAATTCTGTGACTGGGACATGGAATAGGTTCCAATCAGAACCCAGGTTTTGTGGGTTAAGCAATTTTTGGTCTCTAGAAACATGTTGGTGTGGGTGGAATTAGAAAAATACAGCACTTAACTAACACCGATCATAAAGAAGACAAGACTGTAAGAGTAATCATTACTTAGTGTTCAAGTGTAGACAAATGGAGATAAAACCTAAGTCTGATTTACAGGTTTATTAGGTTTCAGATAACCCGAAGCTGAGCCAGGCCCATAATAGACTGTAAAATTCTAATATGCTGATTTATAGATTTGTTAACAATTCCAATGCCATCCTGATTGTCCCTTAATTGGAGGCAGCATGGCCTCCATCACATATCTTTCACTTACCACCACTGAAACCATGGATATATCTGCTGACTCTCTCAGCGTCAGTTTCCTTATCTGTCCAACAGGAGTAAGAACACCTATCAACCTTGGGAAGGTTAGCGAAGATTCTGTGTATGAAAAATTTCTGGTATAGAGTGTGGCACATACTACAGGTGCCATAAATTATTACTAATTATCTAGCTTCTCTGATTTGTGCTTGCCATTCCATTCCAGTTCCATTAGAACCAGCACAGCCTGTTTTCTTTATCTTTATGGTGGGAGTGCTTACTTTATAGACCTCTTTGTACAGTTGAAAGAGCCTGGGCTTATGCAGTCAGACATCCCTGCTGCTTTCTGGCTCTGTGACCTTGGCAAGATACTTAATCTCTCCGAACTTTACAGTTCTTAACTGTAAAAATGGTGATGGTAATGACTGCCTTGCAGAATCGGAGGGATGATTAGAATTACTACTTAGGGAGTACTTGGCACACAGTAGGCATGTAATAAATCATACCCATCATCATTCTCTACTACAGGTCTCTCTCCTTTACAATAACTTCTTTATAGCTGTGAAACTGATTCTAGCTCTCACTTAAACTAGTGACTTTCTTATATCTCATTCTCACTCAAGAAAAGAGAACGTATCCTACAAGTAGGCTTTATAGCAGCTTGTGAAAAGACTGGGATTCAGGGCTCTGCAATCTGGATTCAACCTTCCTGTACAGAGTATCTCCTATGTGCCAGGCCATTTGACATAGATTATCTGCAGCTCTCGCAACTCTGCCTCTTGGGCAACTTGAGGAATATTATCTCCATTTGACCAATAAGAATACTGAGGCTCCGAGAGGTTAAATAACTTTCTCAAGTGCTTGAAGCCAGCGTTTGAATACAATTTTGACTGTCACCAAGGGCTATGGTAATTATACCATACTACACTGGTAGCCATTTATTTTATTGAATGCCTACTGTGTTCCCAGCACTGTGCCAATAAGACACACATGAATCGTATTGGATTTTTAGAAAATGAGATAATCGAGGCTCACAGAGGGCTATTTCCCCATCGTTACACAGTGGGTATTGTAATAATAAGTGCCATCATTTATTGAGGGCTTACTGCATGCCAGGCACTGTAGTAGATTCTTTACGTAAATTATTGTATTTGCTTCCCAGAAGTAAGTTTGTGTAAATTTGTTTGCACTTTAAAAAGGGGACAACTGAGGTTCAGAGAGGGTGAAGTAACTGCCCTAAGATGACACAGTGACTAAGCAACAGAACTGGGATTTGGGGCCACTATTTTCTTTATTTTTTTCTTTCAAGATTTTATTTATAGTCAAGTTAGTTAACACAGAGTGTGGTATTACTTTCGGGGGTAGAATTTAGTGATTCGTCACCTGCATATAACACCCAGTGCTCATTGCAACAAGTGCCCATCACCCATTTATTCCGTCCCCCCACCCACCTCCCTTCCAGCAACCCTCAGTTTGTTCCCTATAGTTGAGTCTCTTATGGTTTGCCTCCCTCTCTGTTTTTATCTTATTTTCCCTTCCCTTCCCCTGTGTTCATCTGTTTTGTTTCTTAAATTCCACATATGAGTCAAATCATGTGGTATTTTTCTTTCTCTGACTGACGTATTTTGCTTAGCATAGTACCCTCTAGTTCCATCCACGTTGTTGCAAATGGCAAGATTTCATCCTTTCTGATGGCTGAATAATATTCCAGTGTGTGTGTGTGTGTGTGTGTGTGTGTGTGAGAGAGAGAGTGTGTGTGTGTGTGTGTGTGTGTGTGTGTGTGAGAGAGAGAGAGAGAGAGTGTGTGTGTGTATCACATCTTCTTCATCCATTCTTCAGTTGATGGACATCTCTGGGCTCGTTCCATATTTTGGCTATTGTTTATAGCAGCACTATCCACATTGGGGTGCATGTGCCCCTACGAATCACTATTTTTGTACCTTTGGATAAATACCTAGTAGTGAAATTCCTGGGTTATAGGGTAGTTCTATTTTTATCTTTTTGAGGAACCTCCATACTGTTTTCCAGAGTGACTGAACCAGTTTGCATTCCCACCAACAGTACAAGAGGGTTTCCCTTTCTCCACATCCTCGCCGACATCTGTCGTTTCCTGAGTTGTTACTTTTAGACATTCTGACAGGTGTGAGGTGGTATCTTATTGAGGTTTCGACTTGTATGATGAGTGATATTGAGCATTTTTCATGTGTCTGTTAGCCTTTTTTTTTTTTTTTTTGTCTTCTTTGGAGAAATGTCTGTTCATATCTTCTGCCCATTTCTTAAATGGATTTTTTTTTCCTTTTGTGTATTGAGTTTGGTAACTTCTTTATAGATCTTGGATACCAGCCCTTTATCCAGTATGTCATTGGCTAATATCTTCTCCCATTCAGGAGGTCACCTTTTAGTTTTGTTGATTGTTTTCTTCACTGTGCAGAAGCTTTTTATCCTGATGAAACCCCAAGAGTTCATTTTTGCTTTTGTTTCCCCTGCCTCCAGAGACATGTCTAGCAAGAAGTTACTGTGGCCAAGGTCAAAGAAGTTGCTGCCTGTGTTCTCCTCAAGGGTTTTGATGGCTTCCTGTCTCACATTGAGGTCTTTCATCCATTTTGAGTTTATCTTTGTGTATGGTGTAAGAAAGTGGTCCAGTTTCTTTCTTCAGCATGTCGCTGTCCAGTTTTCCCAACACCATTTGTTGAAGAGACTGTCTTATTTTTCCATTGGATATTCCTTCCCGCTTTGTGGCAGATTAGTTGACCATAGAGTTGAGGGTCTATTTCTGGGTTCTCTGTGCTGTTCCATTGATCTATGTGTCTGTTTCCTTGCCAGTACCATACTGTCTTGATGATTACAGCTTTGTAATAGAGCTTGAAATCTGGAATTGTGATGCCTTCAGCTTTGGCTTTCTTTTTCAACATTCCTTTGGCTATTCGGGGTCTTTTCTGGCTCCATACAATTTTTAGAATTGATTGTTCTGGCTCTGAAAACTGCTGGTGTTATTCTATTAGGGATCGCATTGAATGTGTGGATTGCTTTGGGTAGTACAGACTTTTACTTTTTAACAATATCTGTTCTTACCATCCATGAGCATGGAATGTTTTTCCATTTCTTTGTGTCTTTTTCAATTTCTTCCTTAAGTGTTCTATAGTTCTCAGAGTACAGATTTTTTACCTCGTCGGTTAGTTTTATCCCTATGTATCTTATGGTTTTTGGTGCAATTGTAAAGGGGATCGATTCCTTGATTTCTCTTTCTGGTGCTTCATTGTTGGTGTATAGAAATACAACTGACTTCTGTGTATTGATTTTATATCCTGTGACTTTGCTGAATTCCTGTATCAGTTCTAGCATGTGTTGGTGGAGGCTTTTTTCTTTCTTCTTCTTCTTCTTCTTTTTTTTTTTTTTTTTTTTGAGGAGACTCTTAATTTAAAATCAATTAGCCAACACATAGTACATCATTAGTTTCGGATGTAGTGTTCAATAATTCATCAGTTGCATATGACACCCAGTGCTCATCACATCACGTGCCTACATTAGAGTTTCATGTGGTCCGTGAAGACTTACAGTTTGACTTCTTCCTTGCCAATTTGGATGCTTTTCATTTCTTTTTGTTGTCTGATTGCTGAGGCTAGGACTTTCAGTACTGTGTTGAACAGCAGTGGTGAGAGGTGACATCCCTGTCGTGTTCCTGACCTTAGGGGAAATGCTCTCAGTTTGTCCCCATTGAGGATGGTATTAGCTGTGGATCTTTTTGTATATGGTCTTTACAATATTGAGGTATGTTCTTTTTTCTTTCTTCCTTTCTTTTTTAAATTTTATTTGTCAGAGAGAGAGAGCCAGCACAAGCAGGGAAAGCGGCAGGCAGAGGGAGAAACCTGCTCTCTGCTGAGGAGGGAGCCCAATGTGGGACTCGATCCCAGGACCCTGGGATCATGACCCGAGCCGAAGGCAGACGCTTAACAGACTGAGCCACCCAGGTGTCCCGAGGTATGTTCTTTCTATCCGTACTTTGTTGAGGGTTTTTATCAAGAAATGATGCTATACTTTGTCAAATGCTTTTCCTGCATCTGTCATGTGGTTCTTATCCTTTCTTTTATTAATGTGGGGTATCGTGTTGATTGAATTGCAGATATTGAAACCACCCCTGCAGCCCAGGATTTGTAGCCACTATTTTCTTTCTTTTTTTTTTAAATTATATTATGTTATGTTAGTCACCATACAATACATCATTGGTTTTTGATGTGGTGATCCACGATCCATTGCTTTCGTATAACACCCAGGGCTCCATGCAGTACGTGCCCTCCTTAATACCCATCACCGGGCTAACCAATCCCCCTTACCCCCCCCCCCAAAAAAAACCCTGTTTGTTTCTCAGAGTCCATAGTCTCTCATGGTTTCGTCTCTCCCACCGATTTCCACCCCCTTCATTTTTCCCTTCCTTCTCCTAATGTCCTCCATGCTACTCCTTATGTTCCACAAGAAGTGAAACCGTATGATAATTGACTTTCTCTGCTTGACTTACTTCACTTAGCATAATCTCCTCCAGTCCCGTCCATGTTGATGCAAATGGTGGGTATTCATCCTTTCTGATGGCTGAGTAATATTCCATCGTATATATGGACCACATCTTCTTTATCCATTCGTCTGTTGAAGGGCATCTCGGCTCTTTCCACAGTTCGGCTATTGCGGACATTGCTGCTATGAACATTGGGGTGCAGATGGCCCTTCTTTTCACTACATCTGTGTCTTTGGGGTAAATAACCAGGAGTGCAATTGCTGGGTCATAGGGTAGCTCTATTTTTAAGTTTTTGAGGCACCTCCACACTGTTTTCCAAAGTGGCCGTACCAACTTGCATTCCCACCAAAGTGTAATAGGGCTCCCCTTTCTCCACAGCCTCTCCAACATTTGTTGTTTCTTGCCCTGTCCAGTTTTGCCATTCTAACTGGTGTAAGGTGGTATCTCAATGTGGTTTTGATTTGCATTTCCCTGATGGCTAATGATGATGAACATTTTTTCATGTGTCTGTTAGCCATTTGTATGTCTTCTTCAGAGAAGTGTCTTTTCATATCTTCTCGCCATTTTTTGACTTGATTATTTGTTTTTTGGGTGTTGAGTTTGAGAAGTTCTTTATAGATCTTGGATACAAGCCCTTTATCTGTAGTGTCATTTGCAAATATCTTCTCCCATTCTGTGGGTTGCCTCTTTGTTTTGTTGACTGTTTCCTTTGCTGTGCAGAAGCTTTTTATCTTGATGAAGTCCCAGAAATTCATTTTTGCTTTTGTTTCACTAGCTTTTGGAGATGTATCTTGTATCTTGATGTATCTTGATGTATCTTGTATCAAGATGTATCTTGAAAGAAGTTGCTGTGGCTGATACTGCCTATGTTCTCCTCTAGGATTTGGATGGATTCCTGTCTCACATTGAGGTCTTTCATCCATTTTGAGTTTATTTTTGTGTATGGTGTTAGGGAATGGTCGAGTTTCATTCTTCTGCATGTGGCTGCCCAGTTTTCCCAGCACCATTTATTGAAGAGACTATCTTTTTTTCCATTGCATCTTTTTTCCTGCTTTGTCGAAGATTATTTGACCATAGAGTTGAGGGTCCATATCTGGGTTCTCTGTTCTGTTCCATTGGTCTATATGTCTGTTTTTGTGCCAGTACCCTGCTGTCTTGGTGATCACAGCTTTGTAATACAGCTTGAAATCGGGCAACGTGATGCCCCCAACTTTGTTTTTCTTTTTCAGTATTTCCCTGGCGATTCGGGGTCTTTTCTGACTCCATACAAATTTCAGGATTGTTTGTTCCAGCACTTTGAAAAATGTCATTGGAATTTTGAGCGGGATGGCGTTGAAGGTATAGATTGCTCTGGGTAGCATAGACATTTTAACAATGTTCATTCTTCCGATCCATGAGCATGGAATGTTTTTCCATCTTTTTGTGTCTTCTTCCATTTCTTTCATGAGTGTTCTGTAGTTCCTAGAGAATAGATCCTTTACGTCTTTGGTTAGGTTTATTCCAAGGTATCTTATGGTTTTTGGTGCTATTGTAAATGGAATCGTTTCTCTAATTTCTCTTTCTACAGTTGCGTTGTAAGTGTATAAGAAAGCAACTGATTTCTGTGCATTGATTTTGTATCCTGCCACATTACTGAATTGCTGTTTGAGTTCTAGTAATTCGGGGGTAGAGTCTTTTGGGTTTCCACATAAAGTATCTATCATGTCATCTGCGAAAAGAGAGTGTTTGACTTCTTCTTTGCCAATTTGAATACCTTTTATTTCTTTGTAGCCACTATTTTCTGAATTGGTGTCAGTGCTATTATCTTATACCAAAGTATCCCTCAACCTTATTTCCTATGGCTTCCCACCAGATTGCCCCTCTTGTGAATACAAGAGTTGTGGCGAACTAGAAGATAGCAGAGGCAAAGGTTGAAGGAAAGACTGAGCACATCACCTGGAATGATGGCCTCCATCACGTACCTTTCACTTTCCACCTCTAAAACTGTGGATACATCTGCTGACCCCTCTGAACATCAGTTTCCTGATCTGTCAAACAGGAATAACAACACCTTGTCAACATCGGGAAGATTAGATAAGGTCCTGTACATGAAAAATTTCTTATATAATGCATGGCAACATAGCAGATGTTCAAGTAGAACAAAGTATGATATCCCAAATTCTCTCATTCCACAACCTCAAAATTCACATTATGGGAACTTCTAAAAATGGAAGAAAATAATATTAAATCATTTTTTATCATCACAGAACTGGACAAAAGCACTCCTTTGCTCCATAATAGTCCATGACTCCCCTTGCTGTCAGGATGGCCCAGACTTCTTAGCATGAATATAAAGTCCTCTAGGATATACTCCCTTCCTACGATTTCAGCCTTATCTGTCTTCAACCCCTACCCTTCCCAATCTTTGCGCCCTATGATCCATGAATCCTACGGAATATCCCAGTTGTCTGAAAGCATCATACTTTCTCTCATTTCTGGGCACTTTAAAAAATGTTCTTCCCTATACTTGAAATGATTTTCACTGTACTAGTTTCTGTTTATCTTTCCATACAGTTCAGAAGCCATCTGCTCAAGAAGACTTCTGTAAGCCTCCTGATGAGCTGGCTGGGTTAAATGCTCCATCTCTGTGCTTTCCTAGTACTCAAAGTGTTGTATTGCCATCCTAATGCTCTCAGTGTTCTCTTGGAATAATCTGTTTACTCAACTATCTCTTCCATCTCTCTGAGCTCCTTGAGGGGACCAGATTTTGAAATCCACAGTGCCTGGAACACAGTAGTGCTGAATAAATGCTTATTCAGCATTTATTGCCAATGCAAGTAAGACTGTTTAATGAAGTGCAAGTTTTACACAAAAGCTTTAATTGTCATAAGGACACTTAACATGAGATCTAGCCTCTTAACAAATTTTAACTGTACGTTATTGGTGACTTTAGGTGCAATGTTGTGTGGAAGATCTCTACAGTTTATTCATTTTACTTAACTGAAACTTTATGCCTGTGGATTAATAACTGCCCAGTAATTAATAACTGCCTATTTTCCCCTCCCCCTGAGTCCCTCCTGTTAATTACCATTCCAATTTGATTTTATGAATTTAACTATCTTAGATACCTCTCAGAAGTGGAATCATGTAGTGCTTGTCTTTTTTTCCTCTGGCTTATTTCACTTAGCATACTATCCTCAGGGTTCATGCATATTGTCACATATTGCAGAAGTTCCTTCATTTTTAAGGCTGAAGAGTGTCCCACTGTACGTATATACCACATGGCCTACCTTCATTCTTTTGCATGTGGACTTCCAGGTTTTCCAACACCATTTGTTGAGGAGACTGTCCTTTTCCCATTGAATGGCCTTGGCACCCTTGCTCAAAATCAACTGACCCCACGCACAAAGGTTTATTTCTGACTATTCTATTCCATTGGTCTGTGTGTCTGTCTTTATGCCAGAGCCACACTGTTTTGATTACTGTACCTTTGCAGTAAGTTTTTTTTTTTTAATTTTTTTTAAAGAGTTTTTATTTATTTATTTTGACAGAGAGACATCGAGAGAGGGAACACAAGCAGGGGGAGTGGGAGAGGGAGAAGCAGGCTTCCCGCAGAGCAGGGAGCCCGATGTGGGGCTCGATCCCAGGACCCTGGGATCATGACCTGAGCCGAAGGCAGACGCTTAACGACTGAGCCACCCAGGCGCTCCCTGCAGTAAGTTTTGAAATTAGGAAGTGTGAATCCTCCACCTTTGTTCATTCTTTTCCAAACTGTTTGGGGTCCCTTGAGAGTCCATATGAATTGTAAGATGGATTTTTCTATATCTGCAAAAAATGTCATTGGTGTTCTGACAGGTACTGCATTAAATCTATAGGACACTTTGGGTACTATTGCCGTCTTAACAGTATCAAGTCTTCCCATAAATGAACATTGAATGTCTTTCCATTAATTGATGTCCTTTTAAAATTTCCTTCAGCATTTTCTTGTAGTTTTCCTTTTTTTAAGATTTTTATTTATTTGAGAGAGGGTGAGCGAGCGAGCGAGAGAGAGCACGGGCTGGTTGGGGGGGTGGGTGGCGGGGAGAGAGGCAGAGGGAGAAGCAAACTGCCCGCTGAGTAGGGAGCCAGACGGGTGGCTCGACACCAGGACCCCAGGACCCCGGGTCCACGACCTGAGCCGAAGGCAGATGCTTATCCGACTGAGCCACCCAGGCGCCCCCCAGTTTTTTGTAGTTTTCAGTGTATAAAACTTTCACCTCGTTGGTTAAGTTTATTTGTAAGTATTTTATTCTTTCGATGCTGTTGTTGTTGTCAAGTTTAGAGCTTTTGTAAATTCCAGTACTAATCCTTTTTAAGATGCGTGGTTTGAAAATATTTTCTCCAAGGATGTAGGTTGTCATTTCATCTTTTAACATGTTCTTTCATTTCCAAAGTTGCTTAGGTTAATACTGTTTCCCTCACAACCTTCAGTGAGGTTTTTTTTTTTTTTCTTCCATGCATTTGAAATACGGTCAGAAGTTTTTGTCACATTCTGCATTCCGTTCTGATATTCCTGAATTCTTTAATGATGTTCTAAAATTTTGGATACATTAAGTTTCATCCTGGGTGCTCCAAGTCTCTATGGATTGTGACAACTGCATAGTGTCATGTAAACGCCAATCAAACATCACACAGTCTTAGTGTGCTCAGGTTACTATAACAAAATACCATACACTCGGTGGCTCAAACAACAGATATTTATTTCTCACAGTTCTGGGGGCTTAGAAGGCAAAGATCAGGATACCAGAACACCAGAGTGTTCTGCATGAGTACACTCTTTCTGGCTTGAAGATGGCCTCCTTCTAGTTGTGTCCTCACTTGACAGAGTGAGAGAGAGCTTTGGGCATTTCCTTTTCTTACAAAGACAGTACTACTCTCATCATCATGGCCATCCTCGCATCCAAACCTAGTCAATGGCCACGTCCAAATACCATCACACTGGCGGTTAGAATTCACATATGACTTCTGAAGGCTGGGGTCACACAGGTTCAGTCCATAACACACCTCTATAGTAGTTTCAAAGCTCCTTTACCTATTCAAGTACCCCTCCCGCAACTCTTGCCAAGCACTGACCACTTCACTATCTCTAGTTTTGCCTGTTCCACAATTCCTTGTAATTGGATCACACAGACAATACACACACACACACACACACACGTAGCCACTTGAGACTGGCTTCTTTCAGTTATCAATAGGAATTTAGGATTCATCCATATCTGTCAGTGCCTTGAAAGATCATTCGTTTCTTTTGCCAAATAGTATTCCTTCGTGTGGATGCACCAAGATCATATTTTTTTGATGTAGTGTTCAATGATTCATTATTTGTGTATAACACCCAGTGCTCATTACAACACGTACCCTCATTAATACCCTTCACCGGCCTACCGCGGCACCAAGATCATTTATTCATTCATCTGTTGATGCACATCTTGGTTGCTCCCTGTTTTGCAATCATGAATAAAGGTGCTATAGACATTGGTGTGTAGGATTGTGGGCAGACTGACGATGTTGGGCTTTGCTGCCGCCCTGTGATCCTGGAAAACAGTGAAGGTTAAGAGATCTCCCCAGTCTGTGTTCTAGGAAAGTGCTTACTGCAAGGAGGCTTCCTTCGCCATATGACTCAGGTGAGATTGACAGGTGCCCCCTTGTTTGCTGTGACAAAACCAGTCACGGTCCCTCCAAACTCCCATTCCTCAGCTCATAAATGATCAGCTGAACTCCTTGTGTTTACTGAACACCTGGAGCAAAATACTTGTGAATCAGGCTCTGCTTAAGGTTCTGTCCTTTCCCTGGGTTTCTGAACTTTGACCCCCCGGCAGTCGGAGCCAGGGCACAGCCCTTCTGAGAGTAGGCTGGCTTCAGGGTGAAGCATTCCTTCATTCGCTGCCTGTTCACACCACCCTTTCGTTCCATCTCTCCACCCTGGGTTCTCTGTGTCCTCTCTAGAAAGGAAAGAGCCTTTTGGCCTAACTCCTGGGACGCTTGCTGATCTTATGGTCAGAGTGTTCTCTCTGTTATAAGAGTGCCTCTCCCCACCCCTTTTCCTTACCACGATCCCTTGAAGAGTGTTCTTACTAATTCTGGATTAGTTCTGGAAGCTGATTTTTATTTGACAGGAGATAAGTTTTTAAGTCAGTTGGGCAAATACTTAATAGTATGATTATTGGCTCCTATTACTGTAAGACTCTGTTTGACTTTGGTAAGAACCTATCAAACTGTCTTCTTAAGTTGCTGTGCGATTTAGAGCTCCAACCGTAAATGAACGAATGCTCCTCTTGTTCTGCATGCTCACCAGCAGTTGGTTTTGTCACTTTTCCGGGTATTAGCCATCTGAGTAATGTGTAGTGTTACCTCATTATTACTTTAATTTGCATTTCCCGTGTCCCAAATGATCTTGATCATCTTTTCATATGCTCACTTGCCATTTGGATATTTTAATTGGTGAGGTGTCTGTTCAGATCTTTTGCCCATTTGTAATTGAGTTATTTGTTTATTAGTTGAGTTGTATCAGTTCTTTTTTTAAATATTTTATTTTATCTTATTCGGTTATGTTAGTCACCATACAATCCATCATTAGTTTTTGATGTAGTGATCCACGACTCATTGTTTGCGTATAACACCCAGTGCTCCATGCTGTACGTGCCCTCCTTAATACCCATCACCGGGCTAACCCACCCCCCAACCCCCTCCCCTCTAGAACCCTCAGTTTGTTTCTCAGAGTCCATAGTCCGTCATGGTTCGTCTCCCCCTCCGAATTCCCCCCCCTTCGTTTTCCCCTTCCTTCTCCTAATGTCCTCCATGCTATTCCTTATGTTCCCCAAATAAGTGAAACCATATGATAATCGCCTTTCTCTGCTTGACTTACTTCACTTAGCATAATCTCCTCCAGTCCCATCCATGTTGATGTAAAAGTTGGGTATTCATCCTTTCTGATGGCTGAGTAATATTCCATCGTATATATGGACCACATCTTCTTTATCCATTCGTCTGTTGAAGGGCATCTCGGCTCTTTCCACAGTTCGGCTATTGCGGACATTGCTGCTATGAACATTGGGGTGCAGATGGCCCTTCTTTTCATTACATCTGTGTCTTTGGGGTAAATACCCAGGAGTGCAATTGCTGGGTCATAGGGTAGCTCTATTTTTAAGTTTTTGAGGCACCTCCACACTGTTTTCCAAAGTGGCCGTACCAACTTGCATTCCCACCAACAGTGTAATAGGGCTCCCCTTTCTCCACAGCCTCTCCAACATTTGTTGTTTCTTGCCTTGTCCATTTTTGCCATTCTAACTTGTGGAAGGTGGAATCTCAGTGTGGTTTCGATTTGAATTTTCCTGATGGCTAATGGTGATGAACACTTTTTCATGTGTCTGATAGCCATTTGTATGTCTTCTTTGGAGAAGTGTCTGTTCATGTCTTCTCCCCATTTTTTGCTTGATTATTTGTCTTTTGGGTGTTGAGTTTGAGAAGTTCTTTATAGATCTTGGATACCAGCCCTTTATCTGTAGTGTCATTTGCAAATATCCTCTCCCATTCTGTGGGTTGCCTCTTTGTTTTGTTGACTGTTTCCTTTGCTGTGCCGAAGCTTTTTGCCTTGATGAAGTCCCAAGAGTTCATTTTTTGCTTTTGTTTCGCTAGCCTTTGGAGATGTTGGATACAATTCCCTTTATCAGACATGAGTTTTAGTAAATATTTTTCTTCCAGTCTCTGGTTTGCCTTTCATTTCTTAACAGCCTCTCTTGCAGAGTGCAAGTTTTTTATTTTTAATAAAGTCCAACTCAGCTTTCTTTTTTTTTCTTTTTCATGGATGCTACTTCCGGTGTTCTGTTTAAAAGCTCAGCAGCAAACACAAAGTCATGTTGATTTTCTCCTACGTTTCCTCCCAGATGCTTTATATTTTGAATTTTAAATATAGACCCTTGTTCCATTTTGAGTTAATTTGTGCAGAAGTGTCAGGTCTGCGGCTCGGTTACACTTTTTTTGTCCTTGGATTCCAATTTTTTCCAGCACCATTTATTGAAAAGGCTATTCTTTCTCCATCAAATTGTGCTTGTATCTTTGTCCCGTTCAACTGAGTCATATTTGTGCAGGTCTGTTACAGGTTTGCTGTTCTGTGCACTGAACTCTGTGTCTGTTCTTTGCCAGTACCACACTGTCTTAATTACTACAGCTTTATAATAAGTCTTGAAATCAGATAATATGAGCCCTGGACCTTTGTTCTTCTTTTTCAGAATTGTGAATTCTTCTTTTTCAGAGTTTTTCAGAATTATCTATTCTAGAGCCTTTGGTGTTCAATATAAGTTTCAGATCAATATGTCGGTATCGTCACAGAGCTTGCTGCAATTTTGATGGGTATTCTGTTGTTTCTATAGATAAGTCTGGGAAGAATTGAAATTTTTACAAGTGCGAGTTTTCCAGTCCATGTATATGAAATATCTCTCTTTTTA